CCACAAAATAAAAAATGAAAACCGCAACCTTTTACTCATGACTCATTTGTGGTTTGGAAATGATTGCTAAAAGAACAATTCCGACATGATTCTGATCGATCGAAAAAAAATCAATATTAATATTATTATTATTTTTTTTAATAAAAGTTTTCATGTTAAGAATAAAAAATGGCGTCGATTAATTTCGATTAACAACAAATTTATTATTTTAAAGTTGCTACATTAAAAGTGTGAACGACTTGTTTTTCTATTAAACGGCTTGTTTTCCTTTGATTTATTATTATTATTTTTGATAAGAAAAAAAGATGGTGGAAGGGAGGGAAGAGGGGAGGGAGGGGGTTTAAAGTTTTCTTTCAAAATAAATCAATGGGAAATTAACGATGAAGGGTAAGAGGATAAATCTTTATGATTAATGTGAAAATTTTATTTTAAAATGCAAATTTTTTTAAAATTTAAAAAAAAAAAAATTGTTTTGATAAATATATGTAGAATATGTAATAATGATTATTATTATCATCAAGTTGTTATGTCACTAACCGGAATTTCACTTCCTGTCCAGAATCGATGCCAGTCAAGATGAAAGTGTTTGTGTGTGTGTCCATAAACCATCATAATCCATTGAGTAATGGGTCTCTCGACTCTCGATTCATACTTAAATAGTTATTATCATTATTATTATTTATTAAAACCATGTATAATCGATGAATGTAAGTTCAAATGTCAACAAACACATCAATAAAAAAAAATTAGTATACCATCTTCCGGGCGTTAATTTAAAAAAAAAAAAAAAAAAAAAAAAAACTTTTTAAACTGTCAATCATTTTACCTTTCGCCTAAAAAAAAAAAAATTCATCGAAGCGGGAAAAAAATGGCGAAAAAAAATTGTTGCGGTTGTTGTTTGTTTGTTTCCTTTTTTAAAAAAATAATTAGCGTATTGCTTTTACCGTAAAAATAATTTTATAAACGAGTTTTTGTAACGATTCTATTTTTTGCTCTTTTTTTTTTCCTGTGGCAAAAATTTTCTTTTTTTTTTCCATTTCCTATTTTTACGGATTAGAAATGTTTATAACAAACACCATGATGATGATGATGATGATGATAATATTTCAAATAAATAAATTTTCTTTGAAAAAAAAATAATTTTACGTAATTAAAAAAAAAAAATTTATTTTCGTTTAATCTTTTCTTATTATCAATTTTTTTTTTTTTATAAAAAAGTTTTTGATTATATTTAATTTGTAAAAAAAAAAAAAAAAGTCAAAAAGGCAAAAAAAAAAAAAAATTCTTAGTGAAATATAAAAAAGAAAAAGAAAAAAAAAAAAAAAAGTTATATAATTTAGATTATTTATTATATAATTGAGTACTTTTTTTTTTTTTAACGTTTCCAAGTTTTTTTTTTTTTTTATAAATTTATTATCACGAAGTTGATTATTTTCATAATTATAACTCGTAAAAAAAAAAAAAAAAATTATTTACGATTATTATTATTATTTTTTTTTTAATTACATTAAACGCCCATGATTAATTTAAAATACAAATGAAAATCCCACACCCCCCCAAAACAAAAAAAATTTTCTTTTTCTTTTTCAGTTAAAAAAGTTGCATGACTGAAAGAAAAAAAAGAAAAACTTTTGTTTAAATAATTATATCAAATTTTTATTAAAAAAAAAGAAAAAAAATTACATAAGAAATGAAATTAAATTTTTTTTTTTCTTTTTTTTTCATGTGGTTCATATTTTTATTATATAATCAAAAAAAAAAAAAAAAAAAGTTAAATTAATGTTTTTTAGTAGTGGTAATAATAATAATAATAATTGAAATTCTCGTAGATAAATTAAATTTTTTTTTTTTTTTTAGTTTCGAACGGAGAAAATGTTGATAGAAAATTAAAAAATTATACAAGTTCAGACAACGTTCGTGACGTTACATCTGAACATTTGTCAAATTTAAAGAAATTCGAAGAAGACGAATCACAAAGGTATCGTAGAGGAAGTGACGTAGAAAGAAAAACTCAAGTCGAAGAAGAATCTGATGATACCTACGATGATGAAGAAGATGATAGCGACATGTTTATGGAACCGATGGAAATAGAAAAAATTCAAGTCAAACCCGATGAAAATGAAGAGAAAATTAGTTCGAGTGAAATTTCACAATCGGAAAATATAAAAACGGAAATAGAAAACGAACGATCACTTCCGGCGACGAATGGAAAAATTCTTCCATCTTACGATAATCAACAAATGGCACAACATTTTTTCCCATCTTTTGCTCCGATATTTTCTTTGGGTCATTCAAGACCTCCTCAATTATATCATCAGGTTATTTATTTAATTAAAACCTCCTTTTTTTTTAAAAATGGTCGTTAAAATAAATAAAAAAAATTTTGTTTTATTTCTCTCTTAGGATCCATTTTACACAAGCAAAGCAAGAGTATCAACGAGTTTTACAACAGATTATAATCCTTTTAGGGTTTACAGAGATAATTCTTTTACCGTACCTATTTCGTTTGATGATGAAGCAATAACAACAAATATATTAGGTTCGGGAAATTTTGGTGTACTCAGAGGAGGTAATTACAAAATAATATCCATTGACCAATAGAAATTCTTTAATTAGCCACTAACTAAAAAATTATTATTTTTTTAAAGGAACTTTTTACAACGAAGGTGACAATTATCTTTTGGGATCTCATTATTCCAACAACGGTCACGGAAGACCTTATTTTTCAAATCCCCGACCACAAAAATACACGAACGGAGATTTTTTTTCAAATTTTAGAGATTTTGCGGAAATAAACACTCCGGCGAAACCATCATATTCTCAATATATAGTCGTTTACATAAATAAAAATTCAACAAAATACGATGAAAATGATCATCCGGTAACATCAAAATCAATAACTAAACCTAAAAATATATTCGAACAATTAGTTTTATTAGATCAAGGAGGAGGAGAAGGAGGAGACAATGATGAGGATGATGACGGTGGTTCTTCTTCTTACGATGATGAAATAAAAAATTCAGAAGAACAGAAAAAAATATCACATCACAAACAAAAATTAGAACTTTATAAACAAGAAAAATCAAATAAAAATATTAAATCTTATTATAAATACAGAGAATCTGGAAAAGAATTTTTGGAGCCGTTGTTGGCGCTAAGTTGATTAGTCGTGTTTAGTGAGATTTTACGAAAAAATTTTGTGAAATTTTTTTTTATTATAATCGGTTGAGGTTTTTAACAGATAATAAATTCCTCAACATCTCAAAAAGGACCTCGTTTTTTTTTTTTATTTTATTTTGTTTACTACGTCTTAGGAGGATGTACCTGAATAAGTGAACAAACTTAAGAAGAAATCGGAAAACGTATGGGAAATTATTAAAAAACTATTAAATTGTAATTGTTTAACAAAAAAAAAAATTTATTATTCAATGTTTTTTAAATCAACCATATATAGATTTTGTTTTTTTTTTCATTCGTGACTGACCATATACGACGGAATTTAAAAAAAAAAAAAAAAAAGGATAATTTATTTAAATAAATAAAATTATTACAAAAAGATTAAATAAATTAAAATGTTATGTAATAAAAAAAAAAAAAAAAGAGTATACAGTAGTCGTGTCGATATTATTATTATTATTATTGTGATTGATTGTCATTATACCCATTAAAAATTATAAATAAAAAAATAATTAAAAAACTTGTTTTTTTTTTTTTTCTTTTACATAAATATTAATATTATCGCTTAAACAAGGTTAACGGATATTACAATTTAATAATAATTTTTTTTGTAAATAAATAAAAATTGTTTATATTAAAAATAAAATAAAAATTTTTATTTCGATTTGTATTCCTTACTTTTTACCTCTAAAAGAGAGAGAGAGAGAGCATAAAACATAAGTACGCTTATAAAAATTTTTATTTAAAATTGTTGGCACTTAATATAAATTTTTTACAAAGTTTTTTTTAAAAATAAAAATAATAAAAAATTAGTCGATAAATATATAAATATAAAATAATACTTTAAAAAATATATATATAAATTTTACAATTTTTAACATTACAATCCATTCGTATTTAATACGTTAAAAATTAAATTTTTTTATTCTTTGTGAATAATAAAATGCCAGGAATTTTTCCATCTCAATTTCGTTAAATCATTTTGATTTAATTTAGTCGTACCGTAACTTAAAACAGAAAAAGTTTTAAATATCCAAATAATCCAAGCGCACCAGAAAAAAATTGTTATTTTCAAAAATTTCGCTATCGTTTTCCATTTTAAAACTTCCCTGAAATTATTAAGAAAAAAATTTTGTGAATGTTATTTCAAATAACAAAAAAATTGAATTAAATGAAATTCGCACGTACGATGGCAATGTACCTTAAAATAAAATGAAAATGTTCTAAAACTGCTGCGGTTAACATTATTTTAAAAACTAAGGCTGGAAGGTAGTGATGTAGAAACAAAGTTTTATCCATGAAAAAATACGGCAAATAATGAAGAAAATAAGCAACTCCAAGAATATTTCCCATTTTGCAAAATTTTTCCCATTCATTATCTGGAAGATCAAAACAATGTCGTCTTCTCCTCAACGAATAATATGTTAATAATATTATGTAAGAAAAAACACCAAACACTCCCGAGTACCAAATCAATATATTTCCCAAGAGGTGAATTTGAGCCTGAAACAAAATGAAATCCTTTAATTAAATACCCACGTCCCATTTTTTTTTAAAATTATTTTTTAAAAAAAATTTTGTTCTTACGTTGCTATTATGAGATACCCAATAGGCTGTAGTTCTTTTTAATAAAGGCCATTCTATAGGTTCACTTGAATACATGTGACTTTGAAGGGGTTCTTGGTATGAAAATAACATTTTAAATTGAAGTTCCGCCATTTTTTCCCAAAAACTCAAAGTTGTTGCTTTGGTTGGAATCATTTCAGCATTAACTAAATCTCTTTCTCTTTCTTTTTGATCTTCACCTGAACAAAATTTAATAAATTTATATCCGAAAAAAACTTAACCATTTATTTTATTGCTTTCATTTCTACTTTTATTTCTTTTGAGACCCAAAAATTATAAATAAATCAATGTATCCCCCCTTTAATAATTTGAATAACAATACTTTTAGTATATCGATGCTCCTCAACATTCCAAACGGTGTCGGGTTGATTAATAATACGATCCGTCACTATTTCGTGCTGATTGAAACCCCAATCAGGTAATTGACGACCACTAAATTTTAATGCTTGAGAAGAATTGAGATGAATCAATCTCACCTGTAATAAATTAATAGTAATTTATTTAGTTTATTGTAAAATTTCAGATACAATCCTTTAATTGAACATTACCACTAATGTTCCCCACCCCCCACCCCCTCATCGATGATTGTAAACGATTAAAAAAACATTTGCATAATATGAAAAGGTAACCTGAGATTGAATTGAAAGCCAAACATCTCCAAATTGTTCGCGATTTACGATATCCACCGTCCATAAACTTTGAGGCAACATGGAAACGTTGTAGTCAACGTAACAACTAACTTCCTGAAAAAAAAAATAATAATAATTTTTAATCATTCCTTCCGCTCAATTAAAGTTTAATATTTGATAATAAATATTTTATCTAAATATCTACTTGATTTTGTGGAGACATTGGTGCAGCTACATCGTGAGAATTTAACGCGCGACTGGTAATACCATGAACGAGTTGAATCACGTCTCCATGACGTATAACATCAACAGGTTCAGATACCCTTAAATCGTTACGATCGGGTCTTTTAACTATCCACCAATTATTGACATCTTTAAAAGAATAACAAGTAACTTGCTGTTGATGAGATGATCCTCTTTTATCAGGATACCTTAAAGGGTATACATGAACGTGGGAATGCAACCAACAGGTACGTCCGAAAGTGTGTCTCAACGTGATTTGAGAACCGTGGCCGACTTCAAGTGGTTGACCTTTAGTTATAGAAGCTAATCCTCCCTTTGAATTAAAAAAAAAAAAAATAATTTTCTGGTCACAAAAATACATTTTACAAAAAACACATTCTTATGGACATACTTACTTCTAAGCTAGCTTGAAAAGCACTCGTCATTACGCTATCGTGAGGACCGGCTTTTGTCAAAAAGGACAAATGTAAATAAAAAATTAATAAGTAAACTCCAACACTAACAAAAATAGCAATGAACAATTTTCCTAATGAATAAAATAATATTGACCGAATAGAAATATTTTGATTGCTGAGCATTTCCCAACAGGAATAAGCCACTATCCATAAACCGAGTAAATATGAAAAAATTCCAACGTATTTAACGCTAAAAAAAAAAAGTAAAATTTATAAGAGCAACTCGTAAATCGCTGATTTTAAATAAAATTAATGAGAAAACAAAAGAAAATTTTTTAAATTTACCACAATGAACATGTCAATGATGCAAATGACAGGGTAAGCCAAAAGCACCAGGATGAATTATGAAATTTTAAGCTGTGCTTCTTAAATTTCAAAATGCATAACAAACCGAAAATGGCAAAAAAAAGAAGAATTGATTCCATGAGTAAAAATCTTGACTGAGTGAGAAGAGCGTTATCTAAAATTAAAACAAAAACAACTAATAAAGTTTTATTTATATAAATAATACGTAATCGAATTTTATTTGAAAATAACTCACCACATACAAGTAAAAGTCCGGCTACGGTTGCTGTCCATTGTCTAAAACCTAATTCTAACATGACGTGATAAGCAACGGGTACTAATAAGGTACCACAAAAAGCAGGAACAAATCTTAGAGTGAAAAGTGGGATATCTTCACCATAGGCGCTCCCAATTTTTTCAAATTTTAAATGTCCTGTAAAACATGAATAATTAAAACAAACGACTTTATTACAATTATTTTTTAATATTTTTAAAGTAATAATAATAATAATAATAACTCACCATTAAAACCGGAGAAAAAAGTAGCAAGAGATACAAGTTGTTTACCAAGTGGTGGATGAGAATCAAAAAAAAAAATTTTTTTCAAATACAAACTTATGTATTTTCCATAATGTAATTCATCGAAAACAACAAACCTGAAAAATATTATTACTATTATTATTATTATTAACACAAACTATTCTTTCAACAAAATTTTTTTTTTTTAAATTAAAAACTTTGTCATAAGTCTTTCTTCTCCAAATGACTCTCTCTCTCTTTCTCTTCTCTTGTCTCTCTCTTTCTTCTCCAAATTATGTATATGGAATAATTTTTTTTTAAATGTATTTGTCGAACAAATCAAATTTTTTAAATCATTCAACTGCAGTTAATAAATAATAATGTTTAGTACATGCATATATACATTAATATTTACATAATAATTTTTAAAACTACAAATTAAAATTAAAAATCTATGAAACTCATAAGTAATTTACTTTACTTTTAATTAATAAAATTTTAAAATTATCAGATATTGATTTGATTACCCGAAAAAAAGAGAAAATAAATTTGTAAATAAAAAAGAAAGAAAGAAAAGTGACATTTGACCCAGCATTTTTCTAATTTTCTATTTAAAGTACATTGTTAATTGTACCTGGGTTCTTCAAGTTTATAAAACCTTGTTATTAAACTAATCACAAACAAAAAACTGGCAACCATATCAACTTTAAATTTAAATGATAATTGATAATCTTCTTGTTCTTCATCATTATTTTTATTTACATCAGTCTCAATTTTCTTTTTAGATTGAATGGAATTTGCTTGATTAACATTCTAAAAAAATAAAAAATAAAAATTGAATTAATAAAAACATTTTGTGAAGATTTAAATGCAAATTTCAATAAATTTATTCTTAGCATTTCACACACTTGTTAATAAAGTTCAAAAATATGTCATTATTAAACTCACTTTTTTGTTACATAAAGGTTGTTGTTGTTGTTGTTGTGTTTTGTCAATAACATTAATTTTCTTGTCCATTTTAAAACAAAAAAATAATTTATAGCTGCTTTTAAAATAAATTTAATTGAAAATTGAATTGTTTTACATTTTTACCGATAGTAATAAACTTGAATATGTCAGGTTGTAACGGTACTTTAAATAAACATTCTTAACCTAAAATTCTTGATATTAAATAAATCATTAATTTTTTTTAAATAAACTCAAGTGTTTGATATTTTACTTTATCCAACCACTATAAAATGATATTATTCAATATCATAAATTTAGAAAAAATTTTTTTAAAAAAATCAATTATTTACACGTAAATTATTTTCGTTTCTTATGTTTATCAACAGAATTTTAAAACGGTACATAACTTATTTAAAATATCACTAGATGTCTCTGACAACAATTTCGTTTTTGGTAAAATAAAAATTATACAAAAAATTTAAATTAATAATATTTTGGTAATATATTTTTACTGATATGTAATTTTTTATAAAGTGCATTTTCTAATAAGTTTGTTAAAAACAAATCATTTCAAAATTTTTTTTTTCTTCATAAACATAAGCTACGACAATGTACTTAAGAAAAATAAATTTTCTACTAAAAAATTAATATTGCTTGTCTAATTACAATAACAATTGTATTAATGAATATTTATAAAAATGACTGTGCACAAATAGTAACAATTTACCATCATTAATATCACACAAAAAATTTACAAACAAGTAAAACCTTTCTATTAAAATAGGGTTATAAAAAATAATAATAACATATAGAAAATCATAAAAAAATACAATATAATTTATCATTTTTTTTTGTATATACACAAAATTTAACAGTAATATTTACTTAGGAATGTTTTTCTTTTTCCCAATCTTAGCTAAAAAAACCTTTGGTAATGAGATCTTTGAAAGTGAATAAGGTTTTATATATTAAATACTAAAAGCAAACTTGATAAATTGCTGGTACTTTTTAACTTATTATTATGATAAAAAAATAAAAATTTAATCAATGGCATAAAGTAAGTTTTGTTCAAACATTAATAATACCTCTCTTGTATACATTTGTAAATTTTATTCTAATATAAAAGACTAGAAATACTTAAAACATAGATTTATCATTTTGGATTTTAAAAAAAATCCCACTTTAACAAAAAAAAAAAAATTCAATTAGGATGATTCATCTGAAGATCAGGTATTGCTTTAGATGGATCACAAGTAAATGAAACAGTAATTGCGTACCTGACGCCTGACAAAACTTTTTCCACATAATGAGGATTTTCAGCTCCAGATGTGAATATTGAAACTCTGCCTTTTTTCGGTTCAACTACAGATGTAGAATTATCACTATTTATAAACATAAATCTTCCTCCCGAAAAATCTTTTTTAAAATCGTTTAAATAAAGAAGTGATGTGTAATGAAATGATTCATATGTTTCCTGCAAATTTAAATATAAAAAAATAATTAATTTATAATAAAACATTAAATATTAAGAGATTTGAGGAAAGAATTTAAATGATTAAAATAAACAACTTGAAGTCTTCCAGATGAATCACCTAAAATATTTTTACTACTAATTTAAAAAATTAAATGTTTCAAGTATTTTTTTTTTTACCTTATCAATATGTTTGTGCCAATATTCATCATGTAACGTTTTTGGTTGTGCATTTGTTAAACGAGAAAAAAATGTCGGATAAGTCAAATACAAATTTTCAAAATTTATTTGAAAATGTTGAGCAATGGCTTTTTGAATTTTATTTTTTACCATCCTGTAATAAATAATAATTTTATTTATTCATTTATTTTAATTAATTAATTAAAAATTAATAGTGCATAAGCATTGGTGGTTAAAAAAAAAAATAAAACCAACGTGTATGTTAAAAAATCTTCCTTTTTTATAACGTTTGCAATATCTGGTAATTTATAAAAATTTACAAAACTTTGTCCATGGGATAATGCACCAGAATGAACATCAAGAATTGATGCACCACCATCAGAACCTCCAAGAGCTATACCATTTTCTGCAAATTTTAATAATGTCTTAACTTCTGAACTTGATATTATTGTATCAGAAACTAAACGTCCACAAAACTGAGGAGCACAATCTAAAAAAAAAAAAAAAAATTTTTAATAAAATTAAAATGTGCTTTTGCAACAAGAGCAATAATTACAAGTATTAAATACCTTTAAACTTGGATAGTTCTGTAATATATGAATCAGAACAAGGTATATTTATTTCTCTTTTTTCAAGTAAATCTTTTTGAAAAGCAAAAACAACTTCTTTCTTTTTTAAAATTGAAAAATACACTACAGTGAAAGTACAAATAACTAATACTGATCTAGTCCAAAATCTTTGATTCGGGAAAGTTGGTAAAGCACCGAACCTCCTAAAAAAAAAATTTTTTTAGATAATTAATCAACGGCTTATACTTTCCTTTTTCAACTGTCTACATGTTGTAATAATAAACCCAGATTTTTTCTTTTGTTTCTTCTAACTTAAAATGACAGCCGAAGATTTAGCCGGTAAAAGTTTGACAATGTTTGGCCGCCAAAAGTGTAGCCAATAGTCAATAAAAATTCTTTCCTTCTTCACTAAAAACTCTTAGTTATTATTATTATTATGTTGAAAGAGTTAAAAAACACTTTTTTAAATTAATTATTAATATTTAATTAAAAATTAATGTAAATTGTCGTACAATAGGGGCGTGCACCCACATAAATATATAAAAAAATTATGACTAAAACTTATCACATAGTTTTTTAAGACTATTTAAAAAAATTTTTTTTTAAAAATTAAATTATAATAAAATCGTATTTGTTTTAAAATAATTTTTTTTTTTAAAAAAAAGGTAAAGTACAATAGTACTCACGAATTAACTTGAGATTGTTGAGATTGGTTATTTGGAACATTTTCTGTTATGTTTTTTAATATTTTTTTACGATTGTTAATATTGATATCCGCCATTGAATTACAATGAATATACAATCTATGTAAAAAGTTCAGTAATAAAGTTTTTCCTTTTTTTTTATAAATCACTAGTGTAGAAATTAAATTTTAAATACTGAATATTAATAAAAATTATTTATTACAAATTATTAAATTCATTTAATTTTATTTTACTTGTACCGCAAATAAATGTAATTATTTTTTCTAATCTATAACTAAATGAAATTAAAACGTTTTAATAGAAGGCACTGAAATATTGTATTCATAATATTTGTATGTAAATGTATTTATATATATTTTATTAATAAATTTATTTATATTTATATATGTATTAGTGACATTTAAAACATTTAGTGAATATGTCATTAATTGAAGAGTACTATGAGCTTAATGAGGCTGAAGAAGTATTGGTTATTTGGAAAATTTTACAGATAATATTTTATGCATCTGCAGCTTGTTTGGGGTTATGGTGTGGTTATACCATTGCTATTTTGAGGTTAAAATTCGAAAACAAATGTTATTTATTTACATCTATAAAAGTTGTATCAGAAAATGACATGAATTACGCCTCCGTCAATTGGGAAAGTGATTCCTGGTGTGATTATTGTCAATACTGCATGGTATCTTCTTTCATAGTGGCTACCATTTGGGCTACTTTTTTTCTTATGTGCGGAAAAGGTGGAAAGTCAATATCAGGGTCTGTTCGTTTAATTGTTTCAAAGCTTAGTTGCTGTAGTTTTCTATGAGTTTTACTAAAAAAACATAAGTATCATATGCAAACAAATTAATGATATTTTAAATCCCTTGCTTTCAGATTGCCCCAGCCCTGGAGAATTGTATGGCCATCTCTCATTTTTAATTTAATTTTTTTTTTACTTGCTTTAAGTGTTGCTATTTACATTCAAAAAGGAACAGACTTCTTCTGCTTTCAAGTTGATCCAATGAAAAATTTACAACCCAAATCATTGATCAAATATTGCACACCATTAGAATTTTTTGTATTCGATGATCCTCACATAACATCTTTTCAAATTGAAACGGTTACAAAAACATCTTGGGGCTGTGCTGTGTCTTGGCTTATTCTATTTCTCATTTCTTTTGCTCGCATAATTTTTGTTATAGATTTTGATTTGTACAAAATATGTGTTTTTAAAATTGGAGAAATGATTCAAAATAAAAAAGAAGAAGTTTTAAAAATTACTAATTATGAGGAGCCTAAAAAAGTTCATTTTGGATATGAAACTGGTAGAGTACATAATGATGAAGTTGAAAAAGATAATAAAATACATACAAAAGAAAAATATTTACCCTTCCAACAACGTACTCTCTATTATGTTGGTAATGATATAAGAATGCTCAATCATGAAAAAAATAGAAAACCAGTTTTGTTACTCGATCAAGCATATAAACTAAATAAACACAATATTGTTTTGAAACCAATTAATATACCTGAACCAAGTTATTGTAGTGTTAATAAAGTACCTTCTTTTCAAAGTCAAAATTCACTACAAGATCTACCAGAACTTACTCCTAATCAATTTAAAAATTTAAAAGATAGTTTCTTTATACGAGAAAAAATTGATAAATTTATTAAGAAAAAGAAAAAAATTTGCTAAAATACTTTTAATTATTTTTAATCATGTTTTTATTAATTTATTATTTATATTTTTATAATAGCACTAAAAATAGTTATCATACCTGAATCCGCTGTCATTTATCTATCTATCTATCTTGATTTAAAGATCAAACAATCCCTTAATCTAATTAAAAAATTTTTTGGTTTGGTTGTTTCACAATAAAAATAAAGTATTGAAGTATTTTTTTAGCAGCAAATGTATATAAATTGCATAATAGATTTTTTTGAGTAGAATTAAAGTAATAAAAAGGTGTGAGAGTGCGTGTGTGTGTGACGTAGAAAACGTTTAAAAAATTTACATTTACTGACGGTAAAATTATATTATTATTATATCAAGTATTTTGGCTGTTGTAAGTGTATTTTTAATGCACTCTTTCAGTAAATCCTTTTAATAACTTCTTCCGAACAAAGTGTACCTTATAGGTTTTCTTGAACATGCAGGATGAATACATTTTTGGCCATCTTTAATAGTATCAGGTTGATCAAAAGGTATGCACAAACTTTTGGCTCCCATAACTGGTGCACCTGGTTCAACATCTTGGTCTCTAAATACATTAAATAAAAAAAATCATTAAAAATAAAAAAGAATACAACTTTAAATAATGAAAATATTCATTTCAATAGAAAAAAAAATGCATTTTTGTGAGTTTTAACAAAATGCAAATAATAATTTGCATTAATGAAGAAAAAATGAAAATAGATAAAATAAATAATTATTATTATTATTATTAGGTACTACCTGGCACTGTCCTTTTTTATATTATCTTCGCAGGCTTCCTCTTCGCAAAAAGGAGCTAAAATAATATTTTTCTTATCCAAAGCGGGACAAAATTGACTCCATTCGTTCACTCTCACGGTATGAGATTTTAAATCGTCCGTTGCTTTTTTAAGTAAATTTTCCTGGATATTTTTTAAAAGTTTTTTCGTTTCCGGTATTTTGTTTGTTAATTGTATTTGTATTTTTTCTCCGGTATCTCTTCTCACAGCAGTCAGCTGTCCTTTTTCTAAATCAGTTGGTCCAAGTTCTACTCTTAATGGTACTCCCTAAAAACAAAACACTTACTGTAAATACTATAAGCAATTAAAAATTAAAATTTCATTTCGATCCCTAAGTAATTAATTGCAAAGTTAAGTCCAAACCGCCAGATTTTTTAAATTCATGAATTACTCTAAAATTACAAAAAATAAAGGACTCACTTTTAATTCCCAATGATTAAATTTCCAACCAGGTGAATAATTGTCTCGATCATCTAATTTAACCCTTATTCCAGAATTAATAAAATCTTTTTCCAAATTTTTACAAGCATTCAATAAATTTTTTTTTTCTTCTTCTTTTAAACTGGCCGTTATACCGCAAGGAACAATTACAAGTTGATAACTTGATGCTTCCGGTGGAAGAACTAAACCCTTGTTGTCTGCATGCACCATTATCATTATTCCTAGAAAATCAAAAAGAATGAAATACATTGGTTAATACTCCTAAATTAAGAGTCGAGTATTAATTAGTAAGCATAAAATAAAAATGAATTAAAAAATTATTACCTATACTTCGAGTGGTTATTCCCCAAGAGTTTTGATAAACAAATTTTTTTTCTTGAGTTTCCGGATCCTCGTATACGATATTAAACATTTTAGAAAAGTTTTGTCCCAAATGATGAGATGTAGCTGCTTGAATGCCTCTTCCAGAAGCAGGAATAAATGCTTCGACTGTCGTCGTAAAATCACTTCCAGCAAATTTTTCTTTTTTCGTTTTCCAACCTTTTACAACGGGTATTGCTAAAAGGTCTGTGTAAACTCTAGCGTATAAATCTATAAAAATTAAAAAAAAAAAAAAAAAAATTAGTTTTTAATAAATCCATTAAGGTTCAACATCTTAAAACTTACTAGACACCTACCGAGAATTTGATAAACTTCAGTTTCAGCATCTTTATAAGAAGCAAAAGCCGTATGACCTTCCTGCCAAAGAAACTCTCTTGTTCTTAAAAATGGTTGTGGATGTTTAAATTCCCAACGAACGACATTATTCCACTGATTGAGTTTTATGGGTAGATCTCGGTATGACTGAACCCATTTTGAAAATGCTGGATACATGACAGTTTCAGACGTAGGCCTTATAGCAATGTGCTCAGATAAATCTGATTCTCCAGATTTTGTTACCCATGCCACTTCAGGTGCAAAATCATCAATGTGATTTTTTTCTTTTTCTAATACCGATTTTGAGACAAAAATTGGAAAATAACAATTAACAACTCCCAGGGATTTGATTTCACCATCCAAAAAATTTCTTATTACTTCCCAAAGGGCAAAAGACCAAGGACGTAAAATGTAACAACCGCTCACGTCGTAATATTCTATCATTTCTCCCTTGGTAATCACTTGTGAATACCATTCGGGTAAATTTTCTTCTTTCGTTGCTTCTAAACCTAACCGGGTTTTTGATTGTTTTCCTCCATCTTTTTTACCTTTATCATTTTCAACTTTTTTCGGAGTTTTTTGAACTTTTTGTTGATTTTCCGTATTTTTTTTAGGGGTTACTTTCTTTTTTTCAAAATGAGAATCCTTTGGAACTTTTTCCATGTTTTCTCTGTCTTTTTTCCATTGAATAGCTATTTGCTCCAATTCTTGATTGTTTATAGGTAGAGATTTCGTTTTTAAGGATGATTCTTTAAATTCAGAGATGTTATTTTTAACCGGTACTTTTTCAACATTATCAACGTTGGATAAGCAAGTTTTGGTGCTTCCATCAGGTATGTGAATCAATACCAACGATCTAAAATTTAAAATGTTATAAATTATACAGTAATTATATAAGAAATAAAACAAAAACCATAAGTTAAAATATATTACTTTACTTTTATTATTTGGGGAGTGATTCAATATATATTTATATAAAACTGTTTCATCAAATAACAAATATCTTGCAGAGAGCTTTCAACCACAAATTAATTGATATTTATTTGCAAAATATATTGAAAACAAAATACTTACTTTTTTGGTTGAAATGCAACATCACATATGAAATAACCTAATCTCTGCAACTGAATTATGTCTCCAACTTTTAAATTTTTTAAATTTTCGTCTCCAATATATTTAACTGATTTTTTGCTATTATAATTAACGTATTGTTTAAAATCTTCATCTTTTCCAAGTACGGATTTTGTTATTATATGATCGTAAAATAATATTTCAACGGGAGTTAAATCATTTGATTCTGCGAGCCAAGTAATTTTAAGAGTTTTTTTAAAATCGGTATCTTGTAAATTAGTTTCTGCATCAACAGACGCAATTCCTCCATCGTTATTTCTGAAAAAAAAAAAAAAATTTTTATTAAAAAATCATGCAAAATAATTTTTAGCCCTTAGCATTTTTTAACTTTATTTTACCGATTAATTTTTTTTATTTTAAGATTTCCCCAATTAATGAATGTCACATTCTCAGACTCGCGAAGACGAATCGCATCTGCAGCTTCAATGAAAATCTTAGGACCAGTTACAACAGTCTTAGATCCAAGCTCAGGATTTTTTGGGTGTTTATTGACAGTTAAGGTTTCTTCTTTGGCATCTAATACGTTTACCTTAACTGTTTCACTTTCTTTTAATGCCGTATATCGGGGTGCAATAGGATCAATAATCTGTAAAAACATTACATTTAGCGGAGAAAAAAAAAAAAAACGTTTTCAAATGTTTATTTTTTTCTTTGATCTATACATACCTTTTTATTAAACGCCCATATTTTGTCCCATTCCATTTGGACAACAGATCTTGAAGAACCTTGTGCTATAATAAATTGTTTCAAGCCTTCAACTGTCAATCCTCTTCTTACAACTCCTCGTACGGTAGGAAGTCTAGGATCCTCCCTGAAAATAAAAATTTTAAATTAAGTATAGTGAAATAATAGTAATAAAATACAACAGTTAAAATAAAAAATTAAATACTTAACTTAGTAGTAAAAATAATGATTAAGAAAAGTTTAATAATGTTAGATAATAAATTAATGTTTAAGAAAAAGTAAAAAACCTATTTTTATTTTAATTATTGGCAAATCTATTGATATTTAAAACTTTGTCAAAAAGTATATTTTTGTGTTAAAATATTAAAATTAAATTTTTAAAATTAAAAAAAAAAATTTTATAAAATAAAATATAAGAATACCAACCAGCTTTCAACAATTTTGTTATCAACGAACCAAGTCAATTTTCTTTTGGATAAAACAGTATTTGTCATATTCAGCCTAGAATATTCCCATATATAAGGCTTTCGAAGATTTAAAACATCAATAAACCAATAAAATTGCTCATCACGATCATGATATTCCATAGTACGCAATGCATGTGTCACACCTTCGATGCTATCGACAATTGGACAAGCAAAGTCATATGTAGGATACACTCTAAAATAAGAAGAAAAATTGAGATGAGAAAATGTGAAAAGAGTATTGATGCAATATTTTAAAATTCATTTTTTTTTTTTTTGTTTTCTTAAAAAAATTTTAAACAAGATAAACCTAAAAAGTACTTACTTGTATTTTAATCCTGTTTTAGGATGTGGTTCAGTTTTGCATCTGTATATTGTAGGATCACGCATACAACCATTATCACTTTCCATATCAATTTTCGCGCGGACACAACATTTTTTACCTACTTCAGTACCTTCAACCATTTCCTTCCACATTTTAAAATTTTTTTCTTTACTATTATTCCTGTTTTTAGATTCAACTCTTTGCTCTCTTTCTTGCTTCATTATTTCTGGATCTGTATCATCCACATAAGCTTTGCCATTTTCTAAAAGTTTTGTGCACATTTCAAGCATTACATCAAAATAATCTGAAGTATGAGAAAATTTATCTGGCTTTATTTGAAGGAGTGATACATCTTCTAATATTACTTTTTCAAAATCTGCTTTTTCTTTATCAGGATTTGTATCATCAAACCTCATAATCAATTTTCCATCGAATAATTCTTTGTAATACTGATTTAATAATGCTGCTTTTGCATGACCAATGTGTAAATAACTGTAAATAAACAAATATTAAAATTTAATAATAAAGTAAAATATTAAATATTAAATTTAAAATTAAGTTTAATTTTAAAATAAAAATGAAAATGAAATTAAGTTTTTAATGTGAAATCTAAAAAATTATAAAATTGAAAGTACAAGTAAACAATATTCGAGTTGGAATGTCATAATTCTTTTATTTTATTTATTTTTTTAAATTCTTGATGTAATAATTTTGTAAAACTTTTAATAGCAATTTTTAATTTGATTAAAATCAGTTAAATCTAAAACTAATTTCATTTTTAATTTTTTAACTTACCCACTAGCTTCAGGAGGAAATCTTACAACTACTTTTCCTTTTTCTGCACCTGGTAAATCGACAAATTTTCCAATGTCTTGATTTTCATTCTCAGCAGAATTTAAATCCTTAGTAGTTTGGGATGGTTGCTTGATAAAATTCAAAATAGAATTTATTTCAGGTAAGTTTTTGATGTATTTAAACCATCTGGTGACATTTTTGAGATTGTCTTTATTAATTATATTTTCTTCAAAGTTTTCTTTGCCTAAATGAAAATTATAATAAAAATTATGAAGTAATTAAATTTTGAATTTAGTTTATTAATTTCCAAACTTACAAAACAATGCTCCCCAAACAGCAAAGTCAGCAATTGTTAATTGATGTCCCACTAGGTAGGAAAATGAGCTTAAAGAATAATCCAGGTACTGTAATGATTTTTCAAACTGCTGGCTGCATGTCAAAGGACCAATTGCAAATGAAATCCAGTGATTTACTTCAATTTCTTCTAAAGGGGTTTTCCCATACAATTGTAACTCACGTTTGTAGTTGGCTAAGTATCTACTAATACTGGCATCTGAGCTTAAAATTTCAGCTGTATTAATTTTCAGCTATTA